GTTTGCCAGTCGGTCCCCTGTCCCAGAGCTGTCTCCCCATGTGTCCCTCCTGCCTGTTCGGTAGACAAGTCATAGTGAAGCAATCATGGGGTGTGGTCAGGGGAGAGAACTCCACAAATGAGCTTCAGACTTTACCTTGGCAGAGAAACTTTTCCTTTCAACTGAGGCTATAGAACAGATAAATGGACCGTGGTGCCTGGCATGTAGTCAACTTTTTTCCTAATGTGTGAAGTTAGAGCTGCTCTGTTGGAAGGGGACTGGAATCCCATGGAGGTTCCTAAGGAATAAGCTGAGCCTCTCGCTTTCTGAAACTCCACTGAAGAATGCTGGTTCTAGCCTGGTGGTGGGCTTGATATCTCCAGAGTTAACAGGGGCACAGCTTGTTATCTTCGAGCTGGGCTGGAACCCCTTCTCCATGTAATTTAGACGGATGGTCGACCCCTGCCTTAGAAGGACTGTGCACTTACTTCTAAGTCCCTAGTGGGTACTGCTAAGGAACTGTTCAGTTCTGAAGGCATCTATCTCCTTAAGTGCTGTGCGAGCAGGTCCTGACTGCACTTGCAATATTTTGGAAGAATAAAATTTTTATTCAGCTTCCCATGATTTTCTTTACTCCCAGGCCCTAAATAGGAATGTGCACTTAAACCTAAGAACAAGAATTATTGCTTAGCGTAAGGGCTGGTATTGTGCAGCGTCAGAACAGAAAGGCCTGTAGCTTCATAATTCTGTTCTTACCTTCACTTCGTTATTAAATCATGAAAAATCCACATCTTGGTTTATTTTTGTGTCTCCATTTGCAACATTCAGCCTTGCTTAACTGGTTTGTACATTTACTCTTGCTATCGGCAAAATATATAGTATTTAATATTAAATATTTTAAATATTTTATATTGGTTATATAAAAATCATAAATCAGTGATGAATTCTTGAAATTGTAATTAAATTTGATAGGACCGTTTTCTGATCTGAGAGAAGAGTGGGTACCCAGCTTTCACTTCTTTGTGGGGAGCAGTGGGCAAGGCTTTCCTTCTCTAAATGTAGGTCTTCTGTGTGGTATTATTACACTATTTAGGGGTGATGAGTGTAGGTTTCCCTCACTTTCTTATTTAGACTACTATTCTGTGTTCACTTTTTCCATGTTTTTCCACAGGCAACTCTAGATATCTCTTAAAAATCAAAGTGAAATTCTAACCACTGGTGTACAGCCTTGAGTATAGAGTGTATGAAGGGCATGTTGTGTGTGTGTGTGTGTGTGTGTGTGTGTGTGTGTGTTGTGTGTGCACACTTGCAAAATTAGGAAGGTCTGGGAAGAAGGAGAAGCTAGCCCAAGAAAGGGGTTAGCAAGCACCAGGGGCCTGAGGCAGAAACGAGTTGGCAGGTTGGAGGGACAGGGTGGCTGTGGCTTTGGAGGCATGGGGGGGTAGGCGACGGGTCAGGTGTGGGGAGCCTTCGGCAGCCCTGTCCCTACTGACTGGACTTCAGATTCCAACCCAAGGACAAAGGTCCAGAACTGGTGATTGGCTTTTTTGTTTGTTTGGTATTTTTTATGGGGGAACATTTAATTTTTGGCTTAGTTTTGAGCTCATCTCTGAATTTCAGAACTTGTAATCATTAAGTGACTCAGTTTTCTCTTTGTAGTTATGCTGATCTTTACATATTGGCGGCTTAAGACAAGTAGTTCTCTGGAGATGTGCCTTCTCCAGTTTCAAATTAAGCTTCCTCTTCTCTGACTCTTAGAAACTTCTGAACTCCATCCCGACAGCCTCTCCTTCATGCTGTACAGCCTGCTGCCTTCCTCTCCCAAATGAGGTGCCAGCTGCTTTTGCTTTCTATCTTGCTGGGTTTTTAAAAAAGAATTTGACAAATGAATCTATTCGCAGAGTGGTTCATAGATCTGCCTCGTTCGCCTCGATGCCATTTTGATCCAAGTGTGGCTGCCACACAGCTTTTGTTTCCACCTGCCTTTGACTGTTGCACCAACTTACAGCTGGTCCTGTGGCACTCGGACGTCTGTTTCCAGAACTGAGAACCAGCCCACAGGTTGCTGTTTCTATAGCATCTCTATGCCTTTTGCCGTGGAATTGGGTGAAGAATCACATTTTCACTTTCCTTGTCTTCACAAGAGCTTATGCCTGTTTCACAGCTTGAATCAAGTGCTGGAAATTTCATAGAATTGACTATGTAAATTCATCTAATGCAATATTTATTAACTCACTCTTGCAGTTAAAGACGCGGAGTTGGTTCTCCCGGCTCCGAGGAAGTGCCATGAGCTTCCAGGACCTAGAGAGTTAGCCCTAGTATGTGTGGTTCCCTAGTTCCCTAAACAAATAGTGCCTGGAGCGCCTGGTAATGGAACCCGTCTCCCTGGTGAGCTGGGCTGCATCTGTTTATGGGTTGACACCTTTTCCCCTTCCATTTTCAGACTCTGATTATACAGACTTTCATTGACCGGTTAGAAAAAAATGTAACTAACCACTGAAGAAAACATTGACCTTTGAATAAGAAGGCCGAGAAATTACCTAGTTTATTTAATGTTGGCTGAGATCTTAGAAAACACTGAATAATGTTTCTGTTAACTCTCCAGATGTTCGATTTCTTTAGTCTCTAATTAAATTCAAGCAACCTGTTAATGGACAAGGTGTTAGTTTTTCTTACTTTATTTTCCTACAAAGAGCTTCTGCTTTTACTCTTAATGAATTTCCTTGTTCCCCTCCCCTCCGTACACTTTATTTTTTGTACAAACTGCTTTTTGTGACTATAGTTTAACTAGACTTTTAAAAACATTTTGTGCCCATTTTGCAAAGCAAAAGAATGTGCTTAGACAGAGACACAAGCAGTCTCACATGTCATCAAGGTGACTAGCCTTAGAGTTTTGTTGCTCTTGTGCTTTAAATATTCCTGTGGTGAATTCCTGGAGCAGGGACCCATCTTCCCTGAGGAGGAAGAGAAAATGGCAGAGTGTCCAATACACTGTTGCAGTAGCCGTGGTAACAAAGCCCTAAGTTCCAGTGATGTTCACCCTGACCCATTTACCGCTCCGGAGGGGGCTGCAGAGCTCACTGAGCTCCATCTTCTGTTAGTCAATCTGAGAACTCCAGTGTTTCAAGGATACTGAGTCAAGTTCAGTGCAAGCTATTATGTTCCGTGTTCACCAGATATGTTGAACACAATGTTAGGCATTTTAGTTATTTTTTGTTTTAACTTTTCCTTTGTTCCTGAATGTCCCTTGTCCCCTTACAGTACATATGAATCATGTATTTCAGTTATCGGGAAATGAAAGAAGCATATCTTAGGCTACAATTTTTACTTTGTTTGTGGATGTTATTGTAGGTACTAACCTTTGCTTCCGTTTTCTTGCCTTCACATGGAATGTTAGTTGTGGTTAACCTCTGTGTCTACTATAGTATGGGAAAATAGCAGCACAGCCTGGATGACCTACCTAGTTTGCTACTGATGTTTTCCATATGACGCATTTCACTTCGGTGTCTAGCAAACATTTTTAAAACTACAGGTGACACATTGGGTTTGTATTAATAGTAGCACATGTCTCAAAACTTCACTGACAGTGAAATGATTTTCATGTGCTTATAGCTTTTAACCACTAGGAGTTCAATAGGAGTTTTCCAACACATGAGTCAAGCAGTTTAACAGGCATAAAGAGAACTCTGGAAGAATGAACATTTCGGTTCCCATTTTCCCGCCCTTTTTACATGCCTAATCAAAAGTCTCGGGCGATGGTGAAATCCCTTTGGTATCTGGGTTTAAAAGGTTGTAAAGGTTGAACTGAATGCTCTTCACACTGTGAAGTGTGTTCTGGTGCCAAATAAACTTGGGAGCAAGCTTGTCGTCTTCATTGTTGCCAGTAAAATGAGATTTACTACCTGAGATGATCACCAGCTCGTATAATGATGACAGTGCCTATTTAAACTGAAGATCACAGCCTCACTGAGCGCAGATGCTTTCCCTGCATAAACTCACAGAGCGCCTTGTATGTGGATTCATCGGCATGTGTTCAGAGGCGGCCACAGTGTCATCACCAGTGTTGTGTGGCTGTGATTATATGTTCCCATGGTTTATCCACTGAGCCAATGTGTATTGGGTGTCTGCTATGTCCTGGGTGGGCCATTAGAGACTAGGAAACCAGCAGTCAGTAAGACACACCCGCCGCCCTCATGATGATTATGACCTGGTGCAGGAGAAGGAAAGCCACAGTTAGAATAGGGGCAATGGCTAATGTGATAGCAGTGGGCCCGGGTGTGTGAGTGGAGCACGGATGGGGCTTGCTGAGGAAGTTTCTCTGAGGTGCCGTGATGTCTAAGCAGGACTCTGAGTTATCTGGGAGAAGCTTGCTGGGAGCGGGCACTCTTGGCAGAAGGAACATCAAAAGTAACAGTGTTCAAATGCTCTGGGGCCCCTCCTCTCCCACCACCTTCATAATTTCTAAGCTTGCATACTCTTGGGTTTTCCAGCTACTAACCTGATGGAATTCTGTGTTTCTGAATTCCATTTAAAGTACCAAATTATGGTTAGTTTGAATATATTAGCTATCAAAATAACAGTCTTCTGTATTTTTGTTGTAGAAACGCATATTTCTGTGGGAGGACAAGAACGAGGCCCCAGCGCAGTAGCTCAGGGCTTTGAGCCCAGAGTCTCTCGGACTCTGTCTCCTTTTAAGCTAAAGAGCCGAAACTGTAAAATTCCTGACAGCAGTCTGAGCTCTAATGTGCTATGATTTTAGGGTAGGAAGATAAAGAAGAGAGGAGAACGTAAGTTGAAAGAGGTGATTAGCTCCTTAGGCTTTCCCTTTCGGGGCCTCCTGGAGGAAGCCTGTTTGCGTTCCTGTATCGCGAGTGGCAGCACTGCCTCCCAGAGAAGACCCTGCTTTGCAAATAACTTCTTTAAATTAAAAGACAAGTGAATTGTATGTATTTGCATATTTTGTTTTTGCAGAAAACCTTATTTGTAACTCTGTATGTGTGTGTTCACTTTCTTGACTGCAGCTTCTGCGGAAACGGCATATAGGAAATGACATCGTGACCATTGTCTTCCAAGAGCCTGGAGCACTTCCTTTTACTCCCAAAAACATCCGGTCCCACTTCCAACACGTCTTTGTCATCGTCAAAGTGCATAATCCCTGCACCGAAAACGTGTGTTACAGGTGAGTCACTAGTCCCTGCTTTCTCGTCCTCCCAGATCTATTTCAACAGAATTTTTCCCCAAACATTTTTGTTTTCCAATTATTATTTCTAACCCCGTAATTATCAGTTTTTTCTAATTATATTTCCCACTGCCTGCCCTCAGATGCTTTCTATAAGAAATAATTGCCTTCTTCCCACTTTTGAAAAAGTGAAATACCTAGCAGCTCAAAATCATATAAATTATACATTTCCTCTATTTCCCCCTTAAAAACCTCCTCCAGCCTGAGCCAGAATCACAATTTAGTTGTTAGCAGCCTCTGAGGTAGACGATGTGGCCATTTCAGTGTTGCTTTGGCAGAAGTAATTATCTCGGTGGCAAAACACTGCTTCTGGTCCAAACTCTTGCAAACACCCCACAGGGCCCTGAAACCAGGACTTGACCCTGGCTTTGCTGGTTTCAAAAGGCCGTGGTGTGCCCGAACCCTGAGACTGTTTCCAACGTGGCCTGCTTTTCTTCTTTACCCCAAAGAAAGAGTTGTCTTCTTCTTAGGGAATAGCTGCTGCAGGGGGGCCGTGTGGTGGGGTCCAGGAAAGAATGGGTCTCTGGCCAGAGATTGAACCCAGCTCTGCGACTCATCATGGTGCTTTGTATGAAGTATTTATTTTTTGGAGCCTTTGTTGCCTTCTCTTAAACTTGAGGATAATAGTACCCACTTCAATGGATAGTGATGAAGAATAAATAGCAGGAATTATGCAAAACACCCCTTAGAGTCCCTGGCACTCATCAAAGGTTGTTTCCTTTATAATCTTAACACGGTAGTTGCCAGTTTATTGCTGGCGGGGCCCAGGCGGGGCTCAGGCATATGTGTGGGTGTGAGGGAGAGAGCGGAGCCTGTGAGCACTGCAGGGCACAGCCTCCCACAGGCAGGGAGCCAGTCAGTGCGCCACATCATGTGCCCCACCCGTCTCAGAAGGGCACAGCCTAAAAACCGGTAGTTCTTACGCTGAATGCTGCCTCCCAGGCAGCTTGTTACACGGAGCCATCCTCTGGCCCTACTGGGCAGCATCTAATGCAATCGCCTGGAACCCACCCGGGCCTCTGCACATGTGAGTTACAGACCGCTGGTCTGGGTCTGATTGCCCAGAACTACTTTCAAATATGATATTTGAAAAAAGTATAATATCTATTCTGTATCAATATTATGCTTAAATAGATGATGTTGGTGCAGACATGGTAAATTGACTTATTCTTCTGAGATCTCACCTGATGAATGGTAATTATGAAGAATAATCTTAAATGAACCTTGCTAATGGATTGGAAACTTAACCCTAGGGGCTATATTGTATTTGGTTTTATTTTATTGGCTGCTATTTTTAGGTCAAATCAAGAATTCTTAATTACTTTCTATTTTTGGTTTATGCTTATATCATGAGGGGGTTCATTAGCACACAAAATCTTAAAGATAAGTAATACGTATTTTTATTTCTTTAAGGTTTTCTGGTTTTAATTAAGTTACTGGGGAGGGATGTATTGGAAACCCGTATTGGTATAGATATAGACTTACCTGTAAACAAAGTGGATTGCGTTATGTTTCCTATGATGGGAGATAGCGTGTGTAAATTGTTCAGAGATGGAGTCATTGGTTTTTAAGAAGCCACATTGTTGTCACTAAATGATCGTTTACCATTGACACTCAGTCGTAAAGTCAATAGAGTGCTTCGGATTTTTGGAGCTGCCTCATCCATATTGATCATGCTTAAAAACTTCATGAGCCTTCCTCAGCGAATCAATACTAATCATCTGGAATCCTGTAGTCAAATCAATTCCATAACATTTTCTCAAGCTGTATGTTCTCTGTCCCGTGGAACAGCGGCCCAAGGTTACAGCGCCCAAGTTTTCCAAAAACACCTTATATACTGTTCCCTAAAACATACCAGTGGCAAAATAAACTCATTAAAATAATTTCCAAGGAAATGATCAAATATAATCCAGGTCTACTGTTTTCTAAATTGCTATGTCTTGATCCACGGACATGTTCTAAAGGAGAGTGGATGGCGGCACACCGCTCAGGGAAACCCCAGAGCGCTGCTTCGCTCGTGAGCTTTGTGCCAGTGTCGAGGCCGTGAGCCTGGGTGCCAGGGACCTGCCAGGCCACTGGGTCTGGTCCCGATGGGCTGGTAGGTGGCAATGACCTCCTCTGATGAAAACTGCTGCCTCACGTGTGCATGTCTGGAAAGGGAAGGGATGCCCCCACCAACAGCAGCAGTCTCCACAGTCCCCCAAGATGCAGGAATAAAGCCGGGTCCCTTGAACCGGGAAACGAGGAGGCGACATTCCCAAAGCACCATGTAATGTGATTTTAGGCTGAAATTTGCAAAAGCAGCCTTAACTAATAGCCTGTTTCTTTATGTAAAGTTTTTTTTAATTTTAATAATTGTGGCCACTGCGGGGTTCACTGAAAGGATTTATGTGTTCGTATACTTTCCAAGATAAACTCGTTGCAAAATACATCCCTTAGGAACTGGATGACTAAACTCCTCGCTATGTGGGCTTGGTAGATAACTCCTGGTTAAGAGCGAAGAAATCTCTGTAGAAAGTAATGACTTCTATTTTAGAAAATTTAATATGCAGCCCCTCCTGATAAAAATTAGATGATAATGCTAAGTCAATTAAAATAATTGTTTGTGACAATGGTAACAGTTTAGATAATAATCGCTTTACATTCATTCTTTTGTTTAATCCTCATAAGTGGGCGTTTGAGGATGGCACTGTTTTAACCTCCATTTTACAGATGAGGAAACTGAGGCACTGAGGGATTGAGTAACTAGCTCAGGGTCTCTGTGAGCTGGTGCAGCTGGAATTCCCACGCGAGCACCAGCCTCCATAGTCCTCTCCTCACGGTGCTTTCCTGCAGCCCTCTAACTCACACATTAAAGAGTGCTCGTCTTGGTGGTGTTGCTTCCAGGGGAGGGGTCTTATATTTAAATCATCAACACATGCTAAGTTATTTGGGTGAAATAAATTCTGAAACACATTCTCATTTTCACCCATTAGGAATTATCTGAATCTGGCAAAACAGCATTCCTCTGACCTCAGCTCTGCTTGAAAGAATTAGGGATTCTGTAAATTTTGTAAGGCAGGCCCTCTAATTGGCCCCCATCTGCAGCACATCACAGTAATCATGGAAGAGACATGCCTCAATTCTGCTGCTTTTCTTGTACAACTTTAATCCGAGATGCACAGAATTGCTGTTTATCGAGCAGGCATATTTAATACCTTGTAGAGGGGACATCCAGTTAGACACTCGGGCCCCTAATTGGGGACAAAAAGAATTGCCTTGTTTAAAGACACTTCCCTCCACCCCGCAGTGAGGGTGCCTGGGAGCATGTTGAGAGTGAATGAAGGGCTTTCCTGGTGCTTTGGCCTGGGTGCTTCCAAGCTGCAGTCAGACAGCAGCTTGAGGTCCACGGAGCTAAGTGCAAAGAAGCAACCCTGCGAGGGGTCCGGTGGGGTTTGGCGTCCTTGGCCCCCTGTGGGTAGAATCCTTCCAGGAATCTGCCTCTTCCTGGAAGAGAAAACCAAATGTAGGAGAGGTGGTCATGGACAGTGGTCACTAGTGGGTTATGCCCAGCACTAGAAGGGCAGACTCCCTTGTGCAGAGGCCGTGAGCTCAGGGATCGAGTAGAGGAGAAGCAGCAGGTGAGCTGGGACCAGTCCCAGTACAGATGGGTGGCTTTGGGACAGTGCTCGGGCACTGACATATGAGGGACATTCGTTCCTACTCTGTCTAGAGCGTTTATAGGCCTTTCTTTCAAGAACAGAAGTCCAGTCCCCACATGACCCTGTGGTTTAGTGCATGTGCTCCTTACATGGGTGAGTTCAGTGTATCTGTCCCAAAGGGAGGCGATCCTTCTCTTCCCCTTTCATACCGGCTGAGATCCCATCCTGTTTCCCATGTGCTGCCATTCCCCAGAAATGACCCGGAAGTGATTGACTCTGCTGCAGAGGCGGGGTGTCCGGGGGCTGCAATCCATTTAGAGTCTAACCGACCACATTCCAGAAGAGGCATGCCTACCTGACAGAACAGATTTGGACAGAATGTTTTCAGGCCTTAACTCACTTCTTCCAGGACTCTCTGCAGTGATGAAATTGAAGCCCAGATTGCTTCCTTTGTTTATCCCGACATAGAAAATATCAGCCCGGGCCAGCCGAGTGGCATGTTGGTTAAGAGCTGGTTTGGGACGCCAGCTCTGAGCAGCAGGGCCCTGGCTCAGATCCCACATGAGGGCCAGTGACACTGCCCTCTACAGCTAAGATGGTGAACAGCAGCTCGACCTGGAGCTGGGCTGCTGTGAGTCACCGGTGACAGCGTAGGCTGCAGTGGGGCTGCAGTGGGCTGCTGTAAAGCTACCGTAAGTGGCTGGCAGCTGGTGTGAGCTGCCAAGAGCTGCCGTGAGTGGCCATCCAGGGCCCGGCGACCGATCTGCCTCACCCAGGAAGAACACAATGATAATAACCAACATGGGCCAGTAAAGCGACGTCCTTCACAACTAGATTGAAGAACAAAAATGACAGCAACTTGTCTGTTCCCATTTCCCGATTCCCCAACGCTGTTTCCCTCCCCCAATTCCCCAATAAAATCTTAAACAAAAAAAGAAAAAGAAAATATCAGCGTGGACAGGTGTGGATTAGTACAGTTTCTTGATCTGCAGTAGCTACTCAGTAATTGGGTAGTAGATATTGTAGATGCTGTGGGATTCATTCACTCACTCACTCGTCTTTTATTTGTTAATTTATTATTCAACTCTATAATTGATCTTATTCCAAAAAGGATGAGACAACTGAAACGTCTGTCTGATGTAAGGGAGCCTTATTGTTTTGCTACATTAAGATGGTTGTTACTATCACTGTACCTTCAATTGTTTTCAGTCCCTGGAATCTCTTAAAACTTTCATGAAACTTTTATTTAGATTTTCCAAATATGATCAAGTGAGTATTTCCTTTAAAAAGACCCTTGAAAATGCTGGTGCTGTAAGTATGATCATTTGTCCGGCACCTGTGAAGGCCTTGCCCCTGGGGCCAACCTCACTTCTGTTGGGAGTGTCACTGTCCTTCTCGGCGATGACCAGCCACAGAGTTAGGGGACCAGCCTGGCACCATCTGAAATTCAGCGTATCCCATTCCGCTGTGGATCTATTACCCCCATCTTAGCTCGGTGGCCATGACAAAGGATTATAGACATGGTGCTTTAAACAACAGACATTTCTTGCTTACAGTTCTGGAGTCTGGAAGCCCAAGGTCAAGATGCTGGCAGGTTTGCTTGTCCTGAGGCCTCTCTCCTTGCTTTATAGATGGCCATCCTCTTTCTCTGTCCCCACGTGGCGTTTCCTCTGTTCATGGGCATCCCTGGTGCCTCTTTGTGTCCTAATCTCATTTTATAAGAACACCAGTTAGATTGGATGAGGGCCCACCCTAATGGCCTCATTTTGACTTATCGCTTTAAAGATCCTATCTTTAAACGCAGTCATGTTCCCAGCCACTGGGGGTTAGGACTGCACTATACAAATTTTGAGGGGACATAACTCAACCCCATAACACCCCCCACCCCCGACCATCTAAGAAGTTTGAAAAGTTTTCTTTAAATACAAACAAACCAAAACTTGGTATCCAGAAGTTAGGATAACAAGAAGCTACAAAATAGATGACTGAGTTGGAAGTGTGGATGTGTGTCAGATTTCTGAAAGTAAATATTACGGCATCACAGCTCATCTTGTTTCTTTTTTTTTTTGCTTCCTCAGTGTCGGAGTTTCTAGATCAAAAGATGTGCCACCGTTTGGTCCACCAATTCCCAAAGGCGTAACTTTCCCAAAGTCAGCGGTGTTTCGGGACTTCCTTTTAGCCAAAGTAATCAATGCAGAAAACGCAGCCCACAAATCGGAGAAGTTCCGAGCGATGGCCACCCGGACAAGGCAAGAGTACTTGAAGGATCTGGCGGAGAACTTTGTCACAACCGCCACTGTGGACACCTCTGTGAAGTTCAGCTTCATCACACTGGGTGCCAAGAAAAAGGAGAAAGTCAAGCCGAGGAAGGACGCCCATCTGTTCAGTGTGGGGGCCATCATGTGGCACGTGGTGGCACGGGACTTCGGCCAGTCGGCTGACATTGAATGTCTGCTTGGGATTTCCAACGAGTTCATCATGCTGATTGAAAAGGACTCCAAGAACGTGGTCTTTAACTGTTCCTGCAGGGACGTCATTGGGTGGACCTCTGGACTAATGAGCATCAAAGTGTTTTACGAAAGAGGAGAGTGCATCCTTCTGTCCTCGGTGGATAACTGTGCTGAAGACATAAGGGAAATTGTCCAGCGATTAGGAGTAAGTATAGGCTTTGTATTTCCCACTGTCCTTCGGTCTTCAGACCCAGGTTCATAGTGGCTTCCACTGAGGAGATTCCGCCTTGATTGTGGCACCTGGGGAACGAATGACGATGCCTTAAAGCTACAGTGCTGAATTTTAAATGTTGTGCCATTGCTGAGTACATGAATGGTGCACCAGCACCCCTTACAAATTGATTGGAAAGGGAAAGTGAAGCCAGCTTTCAAAAGGAATATCAGGATATATTTTTATGGCATTTGAAGGAACAGGAGAATGGCTAGCTGTCCTGCTGTTTGTAGAGACTGGCAGATCAGCCTCCCACAGGGAGCTCAGTGGGCACAGACTTGACCTTGACCCTGTGGGTGAGTCCCCTTTGTAGCTTCAGCTCTGTCCTGCTTAAAATGCAGGTAGTTTATTCAAGCTGCCAGGTTAAATGTGTTCTTGGTTTTCCAGCCACAGTTCCTTAAGGTTTTACAGAATTACCCATTAAGTTAGACACACACAAAAGTCATAAGAGAGATTTAAAAAAATATATTATCTTTAGAACAAAACTCTTAAGTGATGTCCATGGGTTTAACAGTTATATTTCTGCTCCTAATTTTAACAAAGGGAGATACAGGTATTAGTTTGAGTGTGTACCACAGGATTATAAGAATAAATCAAATAAAACGTAAGAACAAAACATGCTTTGACAAAAGAATTTCTCACGTCTACATCTTCCCCCAAGGTGACATGTATTTCATCAATTAGAAAAGATTTAGTCAATTATGGATCATGAAAAATGAAGAAATTATACCCATTTCCTGCCCCTTTCCTCCCACCAAAGATAAATGCCCCCTTTGTTATTTGAAATGATGTACAAGACACAATACTATCAAGTCAGTGTCTGCTAGCCCAAGAAATCATTTCATTATTTGCAGACACTATTTCTAAGAAAAGGCCTCAGTGTGTTCAGCAGTATTATGGGCTGTATGTGCGCAAACCTCAATGGAGCCGGGGATGGTTAAGCATGTGCCTAGTTTATGTGTCTGGAGAACTGAGTTATCCGGGGACTCTCAGGACTCCTCGTGCTTTTGGGGATGTCGCAAATGCTTCTCTTAGGAGACCCACTGAGCCATCATAATCCATGCTCCCCAAAATCAACACAAGTACGACTTCACCTGCCCCTGAAATGCGTGTCCCACAGGCTCTGTCCCACGGACCCATCCTCCCACTTTCCTAGAAAGCAACTGCATTGCCGATGTGACTGAGATGCCTGGTATATGGATTGTATTTGAGGAAATAGGTTCTGTGCCAGGATGACTTGTACAGATGTTGGCGACAACACCCCGGAGAGCCGAGGGATGGTACAGGGTTGGTGCAGGGCCATGGCAGCAGAAATGGGGTT